CCCCCTTCCCACTGGCCGCCATGCGGCCGTAAAGTCGCGCGGCCGCGGACTTGTCCGCGGATGGACGCTGCCAAGGGTGTTTCATAGTTTGGTGTTGCCTAGCGCTTCACTACTCCGCTGCCTTGCTGCTCATCCGCTGGCCGTGCCTTCCGTGTTTGCCACTTGTGTGCCTTGTAGGTTGGTTGCCTCGTTGCTGGTGCCTTGCGCTCCGCTCCACGGTTGTCGAGCTGCTGGTTCACCTGCCCTGGGGTCTCTTGCAGTGTGGTAACTGTGGTTGCCTTGATTGTGTTGTCTTGTGCTTCACTGCAGGGTTACCACGCGGCATGTCCTGCGTACCATGTCTTTCCTTGCAGTCGTTTTTGGCGCTGTGCAGCCGTGCTGCCTCTACTGTGTTGCCTCGTGCTCCACAGGGTTGCTGCCTGTTGCTATGTTCCGCTTGGGGACAGTCTGCCTTCAACAAGGGTCAAAGGGTTCATGACCCAAACCATCAGATACAGAGATTCCGCAGATTGTCAGGGCTCAGCCTCTTGATAAGTGGGTGCAACTCCGACAAAACAATCTATCATCATTTTTATTTTTATTTCAGTCTTTGCTTGTTCCGGGACATATTTTGGTTTGTCTGCTTTGTCTGCTAGTGTGCCGTCTGTCTACCTGCCTTCCCCGTGCCCTTCAGCCTTTGCCTTTTGCCATGCATTGTTACCCCATGTATTTATGTGCCCCCCCGCCCCCCCTTGCTCTCCAACCTTTCGCTGCTGCACATTGTTCTGTGCCTCGTCGATTGTCTTATCTCATTTTTTTCACCTCGCTGCCCTGCGCTGCTGCTGGTTGTGATTGTCTTTTGCTTTCCTTTTGTGGTCTTGTGGCGTAATGCCTTCCGGCCATGGTCCAGTAGTGTCAGTAGGATTGGTGAAAGATAGAGGTCGATCTATGCACTTCTGTTGCTTTTGTGTTTGGGATGCATGAGCCGTCTCCATACCATGTCGATCACTCAGCCTTTTGATGGCATGACTTTTGATCGCTCTTTCAGGCATAACTCGCCGTGATTTGCGTTGTGGTAGCGTCCCGTTCTCATATAAAACACACACACACACACACACACACACACACACACACACACACACAAAGTTGATTGACGCAGACCCTCAAACAGTTGATCACACAGGGACACATCGACACACATAGCGGGCATGACAACGAAAAATTTTCACCCATGCATAGACACACACTCACAACTTGAGTGCACAAATGGATATGAACACACATCAACTGACATACTGTAGAACATGGAGGAATAGAGGTCTACTTGCGTAGCAATAGATTATGGAACCGAGACATTAAGAAGAGAGCTCTTTTTTCGCAATCAGAAGGTTTGTAAGCAAGAATACTTACATCCTTTTTCATCTGCAGCCCTTCCGTAATGAATCTATATTAGTTAAACGAATTAATATGAAACTCACGTAGGTGGCTTGGTCCTGGAGGCTTATTACGACCTGCGTAAAGGTGATGAGGTACCGTTTCTCTGAGCGAGAACCAAAACTGATGTCGATCAGGAAAAAAATGCATCCTTGAGTTCTTGACTCTTCATAACAGCAGCAGGACAGTCACAAGAACTGCACTACTATACTCTTAGACCGTTCTAGGGTGGGTCGTACTAGCAAAAATGCCATGTCATTGGCATGATCTGATAATGAGAGGAATAAGAATCAGATAACACACGGGCTTTACATACGAATCCTTTTTCCTTTTACCGTTGCCAAAGCTTCGATAATGTTGCTGCGAGCCTGCGACAACTATAGGCACAACGGAAATGCATAAGGCTGAATTCACGACATTCGTACTTTTTGGACCCAATTTTACCATACATACACTCAGATATATACCTGACATTACGATTGCATGTAGATTCTAAATTCTGAAAAATGTTTATCTTGTCCTTTTCAGCAACCGTCCATTGGCAGCTTCCCATATGGAGATCTCCTAAAACCCACCACCTATCTCAGATTTTGCTCGGGTGCCACGCCCAGCAACTGCATAATTGGCTTCATTCAAACGGAGAGTTTGTGTGTCTTGGTAATGAAGTCCTGAAGAAGAAGAAGACAATGACGATGACGACGACGAGGACGACGACGACGACGATGACGACGACGACGACGACGACGACGACGACGACGACGACGACGAAGAAGAAGAAGAAGAAGAAGAAGAAGCAGAAGAAGAAGAAGGAGAAGAAGAAGAAGAAGAAGAAGAAGAAGAAGAAGAAGGAGGAGGAGGAAGAAAAAGAAAGAAGAAGAAGAAGCGAATGGTAAGGAATTGATTCCTGGGCACCAATTGGCTCATAGTCAGATTGGAAAAATGATCAAAAGAGCCGACACATAACAGAAAAAAAAGGCACAGAGCGCCATCAACGTTGAGTGCAGACTCTGAGCTGCAGATGACTTGACATGTAAGTTTCAGCTGCCTCACCAGGAGTGACAATCATCAAGGATCCTAGGTCCTCAGGACTACTCCAACCGCAGAAAAAGCACAAGCGTTCGCATCTCCTCAAATTCATTCCTGGCATTCGGGCTTTCGTGCTGTGCACAATCTAGTTGCATCCCCCATGAAACCACCCTGGCCTGCAGCCACCGCATTGTGGTTTGCACATTCCCACACAGCACTTCCCGCTGCCGCAATCACTATGGGCGCAGCAATCCTTGCGACACAAACCATCGCAGCACTTGTTGAGGCCGACTGCACAGCAATCGTTGTCTACGCAGCAGTCCTTACACACTCCACCGCAGCACTTCTTCGAGGTTGGGCAATGGCTGTCCGAGCAGCAAGCCTTGCATTCTGTGCCACAGCATTGAGTGCCGGCGGGGCATTTTTTACAGTTGCAGCAGCCTGGGGTTCCAGGACAACAGTCTCCATCTTTGCACTGTCCGTTGCAGCAGACCTTCCCTGCTCCGCAGTCCCCATCACAGCAGCACGCCTTACACACTCCATTGCAGCACTTGGTACCAGGCGGGCATTTCTTGCCGTTGCAGCAGCCCGGGGTTCCCGGACAGCATTCTCCATTGGAGCACTGTCC